TTTTAAAGCAATAAGGTATTAAATTAAAAGTATATTCTGCACATATGTTTTATCAATATATTTAATTATTTTTTTTTTGGTGATCTTAAATTATAATTTACCGCTAATCTGGGACCACCCGTATATTCACCAAGGACACACCTGTATAAATCCAATTAACACCTATACGGCGCCAACCTTTGATCTATGCCGACAAAGGACGTCGACAAAGGACCCCGACTTTCCCACGGTCCCCGAAATTTTCCCAGTCTGAACCGCCGCCATACCTACTCACGGATTAGACATATTCTGGAGACTTGGAGGTCTTGGAGGTATCTGACATATTCGTGAAAAATCTGGCAAAAAGCATGCCTCGACGCTGTTAAGCTACTCGTATAATTGACAATAAAGGCGATTGGACAACGTACTAAGTAAAATATTTTTTTCAACAGAAACCCACCCTCAGTTTTTTTTAAATATAAATGGGACACCCTATACATATAAGGCACCCAGAAGTGAGTGGGCCATACTTCAAGGGCAGTTTCCTGTTATTGGCTTTCAAACAGAATTATTTTCTTTGAGATAACTTCGCACTTTTAAAGATATTTCAATTAAATTTTATATGAGGTGGTTTAGTGTAGTCGAATATGAACATGAGCTTATTTTTAACCTAAAACATAAAAGTTGCTAAGAACACTCGAAACTGCTTTTTGTTTTTTTTTGCCATATTTATTGTTGGTGGAGATTTTGAAACATTGATTACGGGTTGCCGAGTATTTGGGGGTATTCTAATATAATTAAACTTAACTTTTAGATATGTAGATAAACGAAATATTTTTTACGTTTTACTCAACTTATCCTTATTTAACAACAACTGGAACTTTTTTATTCAAGGTGTTCTACAAGCTTTATGAGAAACTTTGATAGATGGTAGCTGGGTTAATTTCAAATATTTTTTCTTATATGAACATAGGTTCTCCGTTTTTGTTTAAAAGTTACAAGCATTTTAAAAAATATAATTTCTTATTTCGATCAAAGCCTGGTAAATATAAATGGTGGTTGCTATAACAATAAATATTATTTGTGTTTAATGTTTAAACATTAGTTAACCTTTATTAATCAAAATTAACAAATCTTAAGACTGTAAAAATTGTTCAGAATGGCCACCCTCGGATCGAACGCAAGCCTCACATCGGCAAACTAAAAATTTCGTCACTCAACGGATGAGATTTGAATCACTTCTTATCTGGTTAACTGCGTCCTGAGTTATTTCAAGTAACTGCTGACGGGTAGTGATTTCAACATGGTAGACAAGCTGATTCATATGTCCTCATAAATAAAAGTCCAAAGGATTTAGATCTGGGGAACACGGTTGCCATGCTATTGGTATTGGAACTTGTTGACCTATCCATTTATTCAGGAAATGATCTTCTAACCAATCAGTTACTTGTCTCCTTCTATGGGGTAGTACACCATCGTGCTGATTCCACATATTTTGCACAATATTAAGCCTTATGAAATCAAAAAAGGTTTTCCAAGAAAGTTATATACAGATCTGCATTTAAACGATCATTTAAAATATGTACAGGCAGTAAATTATTGTTGAAAATGCTATCCCAAACGTTGTAACGCACAGATATGTTCATTTGATTATTTATTTATGCCGTCCCTAGTAAAACAGGCTTTATCAGACCACATGACAAGCGAAATAAATCTATCATTTTGTGCATGTTGTTGAAGCGAGAAAATTCTAATTGTTGAGTAAATCTCCAGCATGTGTATTTTGTCGATGAAAAGGAAGTTTCTCTGTTCAATACACTCCATACAAAATGCGGTAATAAATGAAGATTTCTTGCTATACACTGAACATTAACTGAAGAGTTGTAAATGACAGCATATCTTCTTCATTTTGAACGTTCACTTCAGTAGGACGAATGGCCTTTTTTGGAGCGGGGTTACCTTCTTCTCGAAGTCTACGAAATGATGCACCAAAGACTGAGTGGGCAGGTTGATTTCTTTGTGGGTATCTTCGCCGGGATATTTGTCTGCTGTACTCATTGGAATACTCATACACAAAGACAATATTTGCATACTCTTCAGTTGTAAATAATTTAGTAATTTAACGTTAAGTGCCAAATGAATAAACAAAATGACACAAATAATAATTATTGTTATAGTAACCACCATTTTTATATATCAGGCTGTTTTGAGTAAAATACAAAATAATATTTTTTAAAATGCTTGTAACTTCCAAACAAAAACGAATCAGACCTATGTTCATATAAGAAAAAATGTATTAAATTAATCCAGCTACCATCTGTCAAAGTTTGTCATAGAGCTTGTAGAACACCCTGTAGATGTAGGTTAGTCCATATTATTGAAAATATTTAATTTATTTAGATATTTAATAAATAAGTGTAGTTTAATTAGACTAGAATACCTCCAAATACTCAGCTGTCCGTCATTGATGACTACTGCAAAGAGTTAAAATCTAGAACGATGCACATGCAGGAATCGTATAATTTTCAAGGTAACTGAAGTGGCATTTAAAAACGGATGTTTCTTCTCAAAATCAATCAATTTTTACAAAATATAAAAGACTGAGATCTTGTTAGCGATCTCAATTTTTTAGAAGAACATTTAAGTGTGCATATTCATATTCGGCTACCAAAAAAAAACCCTTCAAATCAAATTAAAATATTTTAAATTTGATGAATTACCAAGGTGGCCATATCCCTGGCCGAGAAATAGTCAAATTTCTGGCGTTTTTAGGTACTGAAATCTTAAAAGCTAAAACGTGTACAACAGAAGTAAGCACAAAAATAAAATCCTTGGTGTTCTGTTTATTCATTGTTACTATTTAAATTTACTCAAATAAAATAATAACTAAAAAAAGCGTTTGTAAAACATGCGTTTGCTGTTATCCTAACTCCACATTTTAAGAATTATTTTNAACATGCGTTTGCTGTTATTCTAACCCCACATTTTAAGAATTATTTTCACGTACTTATAAATAAAAGTAAACAATTTTATATGTAGGACTAAGCAAGTAAATGTTATAAGAATATTTACATGTAGAGTTATATATAAAAAAGTTAGTATTTTCGTAGATTTCAGTACCTAAAACCTTGATGGTTTGATCGTTTTTTGCACCTGTTTATTCGTTTTACTGCGGCGTCTTTGAAAATAACCAGATTGCATGACATAACATTCCTATTATTTAATAAGCTTTAGATTATTCAGTTATTAAATGTTTGCAATTATTCGTCTTTGTGGAAAACACTATTTAAAGAATATGGGGCCCTTAACAAAATGAAATATACCTACAGGCTGTCTCCTAAAAGACGCCGCAAACCATAACTCCCTTATTTATAGTCTGATTTAAAAAACCAAAAAATTAAATGAAATGGCTCTAATTCTGAATCCAACGATGTATATGACTTTGGTAAAGCATTTATTACAGAAGAGACCACAAAATATTAGTCGATACCGCATTCGGCGCCCGGGCCCTAATTCATGACAAATGTATTTTAACTAATCATCTGTGCCATTGAAAACAAAAAATAATTCAGCAAAACAAATAAAACTCAAAATAGAATTTTGTAGTTAACAGAAAATAAAGAATACAATGAATATCAATTAAAAGAAAAACAATTTAATTAAATACATTAACCATTATACAAAGTTCAACACGAAATAACGTGAATTAAACACAAAACACGTTAAACGAAGAACAACAAACATAAAATAACTAAAGAAACAAACTGTAGCCGTCCTCTATTGCCTGTACTTTTTGAGGAACGTATGGCTTGAATTTGTGCTTTTTCAATACTGCATGTACAGTTCTCTTTGATGCTCTATTATTATTAGAAATTTCCCGCTCTTGGGTTTTTTTCAAAGTTAAGAAGAAGATTGAACTCGATGTTTTGATTAAATTGACGTTCTTCTCGCTTTGGTTTCGTAAGATTACCAGAGTTTTTCAAATCTACATTCTTCTGGAACTTCTCTGTGAGGAAATAGTTCTCTGTAGAGGTGGACTCCTGCACCACGATTTTTATTAGGTACCTACACCGAAAGTATACCTGAATCATGTCCGTCAATTGATTATTACTCATATTTTGCACTGTTGAGCTTATTTTAATAAATAACCTACTGTAAATTACACAGAAAGAGTAAAATGCGTAAAAAACTGAGACACTAACGGTAAAATGACATTTACTTGCTTTGTTGTATTATTTTTTGTTTTCTAGGCATACATGACTAGTCAAATTATGTTTGTTGTCAATTAAGCGACCGGGCGCTAATAATGCGGTATTGACTACTTAATAGTTCATGTTTTTTCTGTAATACATGTTTCACAAAAGTAGGCTTTATATACATCGTTGAATTTAGAATAGAATTCTGCACAATAATAAATAAATAAAAAAATATATTGCCATTTGAAAAAAAAAGTTGACTATCGCTTTTCAAAATAATAATAATAATAAATCGCCCTATGCCGGAGTTATGGCTTGCGGCGTTTTTTAGGCTTAAAGCTTTTTAAGGCTAACTTTTTAAAGAAACGAAATTATACTAAGGTAACTTGATATAAATCAATTTATTTTCACCCAAAGTAAAACAACTAAAAAGAATGCACTATTTACATTTTGATACACTGACACTTGGGGTATGACAAAATAGGTAATATACAGAAAAAAATCAAAATTTATAATCAAGGATCTACGACATAGAAAAAATATGTTATTTTAGATAATTGTTTTGACAAACAATCAGTAATATTAAAAAATTATTTCAACTTTATTACTGTCTATAATTTCAATCCTTATGAAATGCATTTAAATAATAGTGATATTTCGATCAATAGTCGTGCCATAAATAATCTGATTTGACTACTTTTTTCTTCAATTATAGAACTAAAATAATGGGTTAATAAAAGAATGTTTTTTTGATTTACAATCTCAAAAAAATACTCATCTGGAAACATGACTAATTCAAATATTTGCTGCTTTGTTTCAGTTACAGTAATGCCAGTACCGCCTCAACCTGCGCCATCTTTTTGGAACCCACCTGCACCACAACCACAGTTTTTTCCACAATTTCTACCACAGCCTTTACCTCAGCAAGCTGGTAATGAAATGTTCATTGATATTATCTTCTTAGTAAAAAAAAGGTTTTATACAGAATATCCCTTAATTCTACGGACAAATTTCTATAAGGTATTTCTTGACCAAAATTAACACAAAATTTCTGTGATTCCTTAGAAGGAAACAGACAAAAACGAACAAATTTAAACTGTCTAAAATAATTAAAAACGTAAAATCATTATGATACATTTTCGAAACAAACAATGTTTTAAAATGTGCGATATATATTTTGTGTCAATAAATAAGAATTGTTTGTTATATAAATGTGGGGTCTTAGGACAGCCATTGTCTAGCTAGTGTCAAAAATTTTAAAGAAATCGGTTTTTAATATTTAATTTCTAAAGCGCTTGAGATAGTTTAACCAAAGGTGTGCACATTTAGTATGACAGTAGGTATGAAACAAAAAATTACCAGCTTTAGAAACTTACCAGTAGCAGAGGTGTAGTTATAATCGATCATTATTTGCCAAAAAAAAAATATCACCCTGTATAATATTACAAATAAAATAGATCATCATATGCGCCATTTACCCTACATTTATATAACGAAAAACCATTATTTTTGGCCACAGAATACGCCCCTGGATTTTTGACATCTACTTAAGAAACACTCTGTATAGTGATCGTTTTTTTGTATTTTGTATTTGTCTGTTTCTTCAGTGTGAGATTTTTAGTTAGGCAAAACTATTTTTACAAAAATAATCCTTGACATTTGATCCATTTGATAAATATTAAGTACTAGAACTATGCCACAAAAAAATAAATTAAAACACTAACCCAGAATTTTGTTATGAAAAAACATTAATTTAATTTGATAGGATTTTCAGGGAACTTTTTTGAATTCATTTGTATTAGATTAATACCTTAGACTAATACCTAAAATAAAATGTAAAGTGAAAAATTCCGTAGCAAATATATTTTTAGATGTCAATATCGAGCTCGACGAGATAAGAACACCATAAAAACTGTTGAAAAATTCAATTGTGACGCTGTAGCATGAAAGAGTGATGGTAATTGAAGAAATTATTGTTTTTGAAAATGTTTACTAAAGGCAGATACTTTTGGTAATACAAAAAAAAAAGTATAAAATAAATTATATTTTTGATAAAAATGCTATTTTTTAATTTTATTAGTCCAAAAGATAATATGACTAAAAATTGTACGAATATTTTTTTTCTGAAAATATAAACGGATATCTACTTCTACTTCAATTTTTTTCTAAATCTATTTTTTTAGCAAATTTGCCAATGTGGATACCATCTCAGCAATATATTACCCCTTATCAGTTTATTCCACAACAATCGAGTTGTCAGACAGGTGCTACATATCCATTTTCTCAATGTGGAAATCAACAATCTACAGGTAAGTTAATAAACCATCAAAATATCATAATTGCAACAGGAAAAAAAAAATAAAAACAAATATAGGTACTTAATTATTTAGGTACGACAGTATTCATAATCTAGCAAAGTTTCTTAGATATTAAACAATATGTTAAAATATGGAAACCGATTTAAATAAGTAGATATGTAAATTTTATTTAAATATATTTATCAAAGTTTACTTATAAAAGGTTAAACTTTTCTTTAAGTCTTTTAGTCTAATAAGCAGAGCTGTTACAATCGGTCCGCTAGCCCGCCGTCAGTCAGCTACGCGAGCTGCCTAGCTGCAATAAAAAATTGGGGTTTTCATTTGAAAAATCGAAGTTGACCCTCGTTTGACCTTGAAAATCGACTTCAAGGTCATTTTCAAGGTCACCTTCGTATGTCCCCCTTCAAACCCTATAACTTTTGTCTAAAACATTTTCCTCATTCTGCTCGGGTTTCGAGATATTTGGGGTGGGACATTAAAATGGGACACCCTGTATGAATAAAAATGTTTGAATTAAATATTAATAAACAAAAAGTAATAAGTATTAAACACACGTGCACAACACGTATAAAAACTAGCGAAAACCAGAAGACTCAATTTTGTTTGATTTAATCTTCATATAGATTGCATGTAACCTACCATTTGACATAGTAAATAATAAAACATTTCATTCCTCCTGGAATAAATACACCACCAGTGGAAATTACCATGTCGGACCAGCTTAGAAGTAGATTATTTAATTATGCAAATATCACTTCAGTAGATGTCGAAGGGTCATTCTCTTTAGAGTAAAATATTTTGTCACCGCCGCGAAGTTTATCTGAAGCAAGGGTAGAAACATACCGGGTGATGCGAACTATAACGGATCCTATCCAGAACCGATGGTGACGATGTGTAAAACAATTTACGTGTTTCACAATGATACAATGACATAAATTTTATAACCATATAACCACTTTATATGTTGATGATTCGCACGCTTTTGGTGAGCGGACCATTATGACAGTTCTACTAATAAGACACGAATTCAATAGAAAAGTTTATCCAGTCGGCAAAAAAACTATGAAAAAAAGAAAAATAAGACTTGTAGATAGTTATCAAATACTACGATTATTAGATACAAAGGATTAGTCGATATGGTGATATGTTTATTTATGATTATACATTGTCAATTACAAAATTCTATGTGAGTGGTAGTTGGTGATAACTGCATGATAAATTTGTTAATAAATTAAATATTATGTATGTCCCTAAAATGTACAATTTTAGAGAAAAATTAATTTCTACTTTCCATAGCAGTTCCGTCAATAGACTCTTTTAGTGTGACGTCACATATTTATACAGATTGAATCTGACCCTTGTTTACTATTTACGTAGATACTATAGAAATGAACAACTTCAAATTAACTTATTTTTATAAGGATTTAGAAGTATTTAAATACCTACAGCCAACATGTGTTTCGTAAAATGTGCTTAAAACCTGAAAATTTAACATTAGCCGTGCTATTTCTAATACGCATGCTCGGGAAGAATAGCCTCATCTTGTTGATTTGTCATCGCTGTCGTCATTAGTGTATTTTCTCTTCTTTTATTTTAACTTGGCATTTTCTAGTTCTACCATCTACCAAGTATTTTTATTGTTTTTCTTGGTGCTGTGCTGTGCCAGTCTGTTTATCGAGTGTTTTTTTCTTCAAGTGGTTTATTATAGACGCAACTCTTAACCAGAACCAAACTTTTCTTCAATGATATCCTGTTGCGAGGCTAGTTCGCTTACATGAAATTATCTTTAATGCGCATGCTCAGTAACAATATTGTTATATAAATTTAAAAATATAAATTTTATAATTCTTTTAGTTGGGGTCTGAAACTTCTTAAATATTTCTAATATTGCCAGATATTTAGAAGACATTTTTTTGACACTTCTGTCCAAAGTACATAAGGTCGAAAATCGATTTAGTAAAAATAGAGAGAAATTCTTCATGATAATGTGTACTATGAGGTTGCCTATTATTGGCTTATGTAGGTCACTAGTAAAAAGGTTTATTAACAAATCTTCAAAATCATATTCACTACGTTGCTGTTACATTCTATATTCTGTATACAGGGTATCCCGTTCATGTTGTGTGCAAGTTCCTAATGGAAAAATAATAGGGGTAGTTCATGTAAAGTTTTTTTCTTAGATGCCCTGTTTTCGAGATACAGTGTGTTAAAGTTGTTACTTTCCAAATGGTTTTCCTTAATTATCTTTAAATCGGCTAAAGATAAAAGTGTCAAAATTTGTACACGAGCAAACATCAACTGTGCGTTAAGAATAATGTGCAAACGGTTTCTTTTTGAAAAGCAGTGTCGCCGATACAGGTAACTGGAGGGGTACAATCTAAAAAAAATATGTTAAAAGTCAAAATTTATTACATTTCTAAAAAGTTCTGTAAACTCTAAAGCATACTACAAAAAAAGGTACACTTATTGAAATTCGGTAGCATGTACCATTTTCGAGAAAAATTAAATTGCATGGAAGGAAATGGGGGACAATTTCAGTATCCACTGTAGTATTTCGAGTTTGCATATTTATTTGCAGTCTCGGCTGACACTTCGCCCCCTTCCTCATATTTACTATTCTTTTTATATGTTGCTCAATTAATGTATTGACATATGAGGATTCAATAAAGGCAATTTGTTGATTATTATTATTATTATTATTATTATTATTATTATTATTATTATTATTATTATTATTATTATTAT